TTTCTGTCCGTCAAGACACTTCTTCTCAAAAACGCGTGAAGGTATCAAGCTGGAATTTATATCAAATGTTCAGGTCTGCGGTCGCTAGGTGCTGAGAAATAATAAAACTTCTAAGCCAACCCAATCAAAAGATACAACCATTTATGTCGCAAATGTTTTTGGTAATTGGGCAGAATTTTAAAAGACTATAAGTAATAACAATTTTAAGAAATTAAATTGAAGGTTCGTTATTGTTGAAAAATCAGCATCTTGTCAGTTGTAATATTGGAAGTGCATAAAAAATTTAATACATTAATGAGGTAAAATGATAGCTAATAAAAAGTACATCGGTAATGCGGCATGCAAGAAATGTCCCGTAAATAATTAATAATTGGCAGACAAGATTGTCATTACGAATTACGATCGCGTCTTGGGTGTAATAAAAAACATTACGTAATTGGGATACTGGACATTAATATTCATAAATCCAATAACAATGATAATAAATCATAACATAATGAGATATGGAAATTTTACGTTTATAAAAAAAAATCGCCTCATAACGACCAAATAAACGTTATGCAACATTGATTTCATTCGTCGTAGTAAAAAATTACCTAAAATTGCTTCGAAAAACACATTAAGAGATTGTCACAACACATAATAACAGAGCATTCGATGCATTTCTCGGTAATTGGTTAATAACAAGGGATTAATTCGATTCGTTCGCGGTGGACGCGGATTTTAAAATGAAATTTCATAACGAGACAGCGTGCGGGGAGCTGCGGTGTGTAGCGGGGGGAGGGGGCATTTTGAAATTTTAATACGCGATTGTGCACCTGTCGCGGTCTGCGGGAATGTTCACTTGTTTTCGATTAAAAATATTTTGTCGAATAAATAAGGTTGCATTATATTGTTTTACCGTGGATTTCTAAGATCAAAATATCTGCATAATATCGTCATCTTTGTCCTTATCTTTGACAAAACAGATATAATAACATATTTTAAACGAGGATTTTGGTCTTAGATCTTAACTCCACTTTTTCCTTACTTTGGTCCTAGAATAAAACCCATGATAACCCGAAACTTTTCTTAATAAATAATGTGCAATTTAATTCTCTGAGAACTTCTGTGTATATGTGCACACAAATAAACACAAACTTGTAAATGCTTTAGGAAATATGTCAGTGGAAGTCAAATTGTAGGCGCGCTATCTAAAGGTCGGCGCTCCACCTTTTCGAAGGCGATTGCTCAACACGATATTTGCCCGCGACCTGATATTTTCTTTAAGCTTTGCAATTTAAATATCAATGTCATTAATTACACCAGTTATTGATTTATTTCGTTCGTCGTGTGAACCGTTTATTAACTCACCTTTGTTACTTCTGCGATAAGTCTTACGAAAATATCATTATTGGGGCAATTTATTTAATAATTGCATGTAAAGTTCACGATACATCGCGATGATAAGAATTTAAACGAGGTTATCACTGTTCGACATTTTTCGAAGTTCTTTTTCGCAATAGCAATAAAAAACTACTTGTAAGGTCGTATACGTCCCCACCGAGGAGTGCAAGCTTAACACGTTAGCTGCCATGTCGGACTATGTGTCCGACAGACCATACTTCCATTCATATGTAAATAATAAGTATATGAGCAATGTAAATATGGTATTACTATATTTTTAGGGGTTTTGGAAAAAAAAAATTGTTTTTCGAAAAATCATTGCGGCAGCTAACGTGTTAAATAGGAATATCTAAAGGTGTTCTTCAACAACACTAGCCTAGTGCGGATTGGTTGAATTCACTTAATTTCTTCTCAGATTTTTCTTTAATATATTTTGTTATGACTTTGTTTTTAATTAGAAATCATTTTTGATTTTCATCGTTCCGAATTCAAAAGCTAACAATAGGTAACCGCACAGCATTAGTTTTACCCTCAAAATTTTAACAACTAAAACTGGACTAATAAATCGCACTCAGTGTGGAGTGGGTGCTGAAATTTGTCCGCAATAGAAAGCGGCCACGGTGCTGCTCCCTGCCGGAGCGGACAGAACAATGGAAACTTTCCGGACCGACTAATAAGCGGCACCGCGATGCCGAATTAACTGTAGTTAGCGTTTTAGTTTGCGGCGAATGTACGCTCTAAGGCCTAATGTATGGGTGTCAAATAATATCAATGGGTGAACAATAATCATTTTATCGCATCAAACGATTATAAGAGACATTTCGATAGTTTTAAAGAATGCAGGCCGAAAATAATCTTATTCACTTTATGGTGCTAGTATTAAAAAAAAGTTGCGAAACATTTGAAAGTTTAAAATAAATTTATTTTCATTCCAATCATTGTTCAATCCAGCAACAGAAGCGCAGTCTTTTTAATCTGTTATTGTAATTATCGGAAAGCGATTGAAAGCTGCATCTGTATTGATAGACGAACGAACAGGAGATGGCGTCGTCTCCTGTTCTAAACGAAACCGTAATTAAATATTCTAATCGAAGAGCGACTCAATAAGATTAAAAACCAATTATCCCCACGTACGGGGAGCAAGCGCCCCGCAGTGAAAAAGATTGGGATTGCATTGCTTAAGTAAGTGGAATCGAGTGCAATTATCTGTAAGCATTCGCTCTTTGCATGCATAGCATTCTATTATAAGTGAAGCCCCGGATAGAGAGAACGTCCCAACCATTGTAAGATCTCTTTCGGTAAAGTTTTTCTTTTCACGTAATTTTACTTTTCGAATGAAATATAAAACTATGAAAATATTTATTGCGAAAACTCATAAGTCTTTAATAATGAAAAATCTTACTCTTACTAATATTATAAACGCGATTGTTTAGATGGATAGATGTATGTTTGTACGTAGGTATCTCCAGAACGGCTGCATGGATCTTGATGAAATTTGGCGTCGTTGTAGAAGACAGCCTGGTAGAACACATAGGCTAGTAATTAAGTTTTTTTTTAAATTCTGTACAAGGGAGTCGTGGGCGTCACCTAGTGTTGCATAACTGTCCCTCAAAAATCATGTTCCACAAACATACAGCCATCATTTAAAACAATAAAGAAATGTTAGGTAAATAGATAAATAACTCTTGTTTTTGTTTCCTTTAACCTGTATATCTATAGCTATCGTAGTTTCGTAGCATTTGTCGAGTATAAAAATTCTCACGGGCGCCCATAAAAGCGTTTCCGTCGGCCGGCGAGGCAATAAAGTTTTTCCTCTGGGACGAGCATCACTCATACATGTTCATGCAGTATATCGCACTATTTCAAGACTCGAGCCAATCTTGATAATGTGGGACGAAATTATGTAACATTTGTAGGCGTTATTTTAATAGTTTTTTTTCCACCCTCGCTCGCTTTCCTATTTTACGATCGTTTTATTTGAGATGAAGGAAAATATTTTGTGTAAACCTCGATGCGGTAAATAAAAATGCTGAGATAAAAATGATCGTTATTTTATTGGTAATATTGATAATTTTGTTTGATTTTTGGGACATTTGTTGTGTTTATATTTTTCCCATTTGTCAATAAATGTTTGTTAAAATATACTTTGACTAAAATCATATATATAAACACGGCTAAACACTCACGTATATTCGTCGGGTGGCGGCACCGACAAGTTTCGAGCTCATCGGGGGCCCTTCACTTGAGTGAGCGACGGTCCCCGTCCGCGAAATAATACCAGTACCACTCATCCTGATAAAGGGCCCCCGATGGGCTTAAAACTAGTCGGTGCCGCCACCGGACGAATATACGTGAGTGTTTAGCCTCGTTTATATATCAGTTTAGTATGTCTCAAGAAAGTTTGAATAAATTAAAATCATATAAGTTGATGATGATTAACTCGCCATTCAAGTTAAAATATTTCATCTTACGCCAGAACTACGCTGTATGGATCTTGCTGAAATTTGACATAGATGTAGAACATAGCTTGGAAGAACAGACTTATAATAATATCACGCTTTTAATAATAGCAGATATAGTAATAGGAATGCCCAAGTCAGTGCAATTTCCTTCAGCCACGTAGATTGCATTTATAAGGGTGATTACAACCGGCGTGCTAGATTACATTATCCCTGCTAGGATAATTAACTTGATAAACTATAGCATTCGACCGCGAGTTAATTAGTTAATTTAACCTCTGCCTTGCGTTACTGACCTGGATGATATTATGTATGTTAAGTTTAGGAATGGTTAGAATACTCGGTCCCTCGTACACAAGGCAACGAAAATCTTTGATACTAGTATTGTATTTGCGTCGCGAGAATCGCGTTTGGCGCGCTCCGGACACACAACGTTGAATTGTTAACGCGAGTCTATTCGGTTAATACATGTCAACTGTATAGATTTGATCTACCATCTTGTCTTTTCTCACGAAGATCTTGGCAAACAGGTTGCCAGTCACTTTCTTTGGTGTTAACACACAGAAATGTTGGCGATGCGCGCTGTTTAAGAAACTCTATGACATTGTAGTGCATAAGTCGCTTAGCAACTAAAATCTCCAGATTTCGAAGATTTACGTTACTTTGCGTACAAAGGGACGATTCAGTTTGTCCATCACCGTTACGTTAAAAGCAGACGACATTGACTGAACAGCAATTACTCGACGAAAGATTTGAATTGTTTCGAATTTTGTAACCTTTAAAACCATTTTATTTTATTCTCTCGCGAGAACAATGAAATCAGCATTGGCAAATTAAAACCTGAAATAAGCATAACGTAAGTAAAACAACGAAATACGTTACCGCAGAGCGGTGTGGCCATTATAACTGAATAGCGCAAGATAACGCGAACCATGTAGCAGTTATAATTGCTGCGGCTGCTCGTAATGGTCAAAAACGTTGTGTTTATGACAAAACATTCTAGTGACGTATCTTACCATACAGCCGTCTCTAACTGTCATGAAACTGTTTACATTAAACCACTACTTAAATATAATCACATCATATAAGTTTTACTAGTGCTGAGGGTAATTTCGGTCTTATCTTAATGAATTTGTACGCAGTTAAATCCCAATTATCGACGTAGTTGCCATTTTCATCGGCCCTCTCGTTACCGAGATGTTTATTGAGCTTGTATTGTTTTTTATCGGATATTTTCCAGGGTATGAAGCGGGTATGTTGTTTAATTTTTAACATACGTTTTCTCCAAAATTCTACAATTTAGAAAAGCAGACAGATTAACACAGCGGTTTTATTGTTGCATTGCAATACAACTTGTTACCAAAAATAAGATGTCGTTTTTAATTTAATTATTAATAACAATCGTATTAATACCGGACTTTGTGGATTTAAATCTTAAATGTACGATATTCAAACTATTCGATTCCATTCTCAGTACCTCCAGAGGCATGTTTCGCCAACTTTCGCCACGACGATTGCGGCATGTCACCGGTTCCCGTCCTCTACTACTGGAAACCGGGTTCCCGCTGCGAGGTGGGCTTCTGGCGCGGCTGTTTGCCCAACATGAATATGTTCCATGATGAATACGAGTGTGTCGCTACATGCATCTTCAGCGCTAGAGCCGGAGACGTAGACTATCACAATCTGAACGCTATCGTCGAAAGCGAGGAATCGATTGAAGAAAGCACAATCCCCTACGATGATAACTCGACGTTGTCAGACACTAACAGTACTACCACTGATGGTACAAATACTGGTAATACTGGGACCGGAACTGGTACTGGAGGCACTGATACTCCAGCACCAACTGCTACTACATGAAATCCCTAAGATTTATAATTTAGTAATATATTATCTATTCTAAAATATAAAGATTAACATAGCGTAGTCTAATTTTTCTTCTTTATTATTCACTAGCTGACGCCCGCAACTCTGTCCGCGAGGAATTAAAAAAACTCAATTAAAAGCCTATGTGCTTCCAGGTTATGGTCTACATCTATGTAAAATTTCAGCGAGATTCATGCAGCCGTTTTATAGATACCTACTAATTAACTTCCATCCAACTAAATATTAGTAAGTTTCTAAAGACTTAATTGAATTCTAGAGCGATGGCTTACGAAGTAAACATGTTGCATTTGAATCTATAATTGCATACGATTGTGTGAATTAATTTGAAAATGGATTAGCGAATAACGCATTGTTTTAATGTAAATAGCAGATAACGTAATGCATATATTATTTGAGCATCTCGTTGTGGCTCGGATGCGCTAAACACGTTTTAGATATCGGTGATGATAACAATTAATGACGTAATAGTTCCATTTAATAGAATGGCCTATAATGTACACATGTTAATATAAATGTTGGCTTCTACTGTCATAATACTTCAAATGCCTGGTGATGTAATTGGATTAAAACTATACAAAAACTAAAAGTGTAGTGAACACTGTCTTTAAATCTTGGCTCATTATCTCCTTCCTTACCTACCAGCACAGGGACTGTTTATTTATTAATTAATTAATTTATTTATTTATTTGGTTTGTCAACAAAAGTACATGTATTCTTATATACATTTTTTTGTCACTATTACTAAAGGTTTTAGGTTTAGGACCTGCATATGTTGAGCTGGCTCCTTTAGTCACACTTTTCTATGAATTTCTATGTTAGAAATCTGTGCTATGTTTTTTTTTTTCTCTTGTATTTGTGTGCTAAAATATGTTTCTTTCTTTCTTTAGTTTATCAACATACTATTAAAGTTCATACATAATTTAAAGGCAGTGACTTAGTACTAAGTCGATTAGTTTCAACCATAGCGTTGTATGATCGTTGTTCATTTGATAGGATATGAAAGGAGACTCGCAGAACGCGCTGCACTACAAAGGCTAGCTGCGCCGTGGGGCGATGTAGAGTCATAATAAATTCGCAATAAATATCGTGCATTGTACCCGCGATAGATTAATTTAGCGGACCGACGGTATCGCGCCGGAGCTCGATTTATTTGTATAGCGGTATTGAGGCTGCAGTGAAAAATGTTTCCACTATATTTTACTACAAAATTGAACCATATCGAATAACGTTACAATATGGTATAGTAGAATCTTCAAGTTTATGATAGAGTTTAGGAAGATTTCAAGTTGTATGGCATATTGTAACCAGCACTTTCTAGGCCTCTATAAAATTATACAGATACAGTGGTGAAATTTTTATGTTCATGCCAATTTTTATAATTAAAAGTGAACTGTTAGTGAACTTATTAAATAATTCTGTTTTCTTATATGTTCAGACATGAATACTTCGAATTAAGTAAACAGGTTTATGCATCGTACGATAGTGTCAAAGGATTCTATTTCAATGGTGCCAGAGTGCAATTAGTAACACGTCTTATCTCAAAATGAAGAACCATTTTATGAACGTAGATATTGCTATGTAGAAATACATGTAGGCAAATTTCTCTTATTCAGCACTCCTCTAAGATTTATGAAATAACTAGCTGTCTCTCCGTCCGTGCGGGATTAAAAAAATATTCTACATCTATGTTAAATTTCAGCCAGATCCATGCAGCTCTTTTAACAAACATCCATCCATCCGAACATTCACATTAAATTAATTAATAAAATTTAATAGGCAAATGAAAATTCTTCATATTATATTCCAACAAATACTTCTAAATAACCATATTACAACAAAATTTAGTAAGAGAAATTAAATGATTTTAAGTTTTGAGGAAAAATGATAAGAAAAATTTAGTTTATCTTCCTTTAAAAGATTATATCAAACCTCTAAAGTGTTATATATAACAAACTGTATATCAAAAACACGCGCGATAAAGAAGAACACATAAGTCTTTATAAACACGTCTCAGTACATGAAAAATGGCTTAGCGTCGTGAAAATGTCCATACTGCGCTCACCTCGCGTATGATTTATTACTGCAAAGAGCTCTGCTTTATATTTGTCGAATGTTATTTATTTAAAACATTTATTTACTACATATATACATGTTATAAATAAAAAAGTTTTTACTGGTAACGAAAGAACAAATGAAAGCTTATAATGAGTACTAAAAAGTGGGTTTCAAAAAACAAAACATCCCACTCTTTCTTTTTAGAAAATTTGAGATAACAATTTTTTTTTATATCATAAGGTGGCAAACGAGCGAGCGGCTACCTGAAATCGCTGAAATAGCGAAGTGACCGTTGCCCATAGACATACGCAATAGCCTATGCGTTGCCTACATTTAATCGACGGAGGAGAGGATGCACAGAAAGAAAATATATTCCCTTTCCATGCACCTTCTCATCCGGAAAGTCCACTTCCACTTCCGTCCTTTCCTTATAAGAAAAATATGGGATGGGAAAGAGGATTAAATTAAGCATCCGGGACGCACACTCATCAGACGAAACGCGGAATTGCTTCCACTTGACGCCTGTTCTGTGTGGTCGTGGTATTTCACCGGGTGAGCCGGGCCAATTCGTGCGAAGATGTTAAAGCGGGCTCTACCACTGTTAAACATAACAATATTTTGTTATTCAAGTGCTTCAGTAGTACGTTAAAACAAATTTTCACGTTAGAATATTACCGACTATCGTATGCCTTTTGTCGGTACTAACAAAGCAACATTGTCGGTTTACACGGATGATAAATTGTACCGGCATGCGCATGACTCCCCGTACAATAGCCCTCTGAGCGATTTAACTACAATGTACACTTCCATTAAAATCCACGTAACTTACGTAGCTGAAGCAAACTTTACTACCTTAAGCTTAAGTTTAAGCTCGTATTTTAACGACTTCCTTTAAGTTTTGATAGTTTCAGCTTCGTGTTTTTAGTGCCCCATCAAAGTCAACATTAATTAAAATTATCGAATTCTATCCTTTAAATTAGTTTTCTTTATTTACTGATCAATACTCCAACGAGAACAGAAAATACTTGATTTGAATTGCTGCCATATAACTGGACACTAAACTGATCACCGACGCGACGGCGACGGACATTCGCAGCTGTAGCGTAGTCAAACTTTAAAAAAAGGTAAGCTCACTTCTAAAAGGAAATTCCTACAGATAATTTAATTCAAGTTTATGCGCAAAAAATCTAGCATCAATATTACAAAATATAAAACTCGGTAACTTGTCTATTTGGATTCTAACTCCCTGAAGCGATTGCTAAAGCATTGCTCACTTTCCTCAGCTGTCTGTTTGATATATTGTTTGTGTATCGTACTGTAAACCTGTCCACTTGTAAACGATATATTTATAAAAGATTCATCTGTCTTAAAGATTATTCCATCATAACGGAATTAATAATAATTAGTAGCCTTTGTGTTCCATACAATATTTTTTATGTATGATTTTCATCGAGATCCGTTCTGCCGTTCTGGAGATACGTTCAAACAAACATCCATTTGAACATTCACATTTATAATATTAGTGAGATTTATACATAGTTCGATTTATACTGTAACACTGTTTTTCGATTTATTGAGTGATATCTCTTGTCGTCGTTGGGGTCGTCGGTGGCTCAGTGGTCAAGCACTCGACTTGCAATCTGCAGGTCCTGGGTTCGAATCCCGCCATGTACCAATGTGTTTTTCGATTTCCGATTTACATATGTACATTTATCCGACGTTCTTACGGTGAAGGAAAACATCAAAGATATGTGTGAAGTCAACCAACCTGCACTTGGCCAGCGTGTTTGACTATGGCCTAATCACCCTTAATTTAGGGTAGGCTCTTAGCCCCTCGTTAGGGACGTATAGTAAACTGATGATGATATCTCTTGCCGCGAGTTTGCATTACCGAAACTTCTCAGTCGCTTCAGTTGCTGGTCGTGATAAAATAGGTGTATTTTTAGAGTAATACCTTAGATATTTACAATAGTAAAATATTATAAAAATCACTAGATGTTAGTGCACTTAAAACATTCTCTAAGTACGGTAGCGTACATGTATCATATTTATTGCGGGAAGTGTGATGTATAGTTCAACATTATATGAACAACGTCTCTGTTCACTTTTAACTTTGTAATTTATTACATTAAATAAATTTATATTATGTTAATGTATCTACTATTCACCCAACAAGCTGATTATTATTAAAAACGACTGTAAAATTAACTTTATTATTTGTAAATAAGACATTTAAGGTTACCGTGGTTCACACCTATTCTTCAAGCACCGCGTAGCCTCGCGATCGCCACAGCGTGCACTCGCTGCCGATTGTACGAGATATAGATATAACGTTGCGATTCCACATTCTTGCTTGTACGGACAAAAAGCGCGCGGTTTTCAAGGTCGGGTTGATGGTGGGTGCAAGGACATACCTTTGGCTAAAAAATTATATATCTTTACTACGTTCCATCGGCGACGTCCAGGCATTGACAAGAGGATGCTGCGTCGATCGCAAGGCAGCTCAGTGCCAGATGGGTGAGTGACAAGTCAGCGTTACCTCTTAAAGTTGGTATAAGTAAATAATCAATAAGAAATAAGTAGTTTTTATTAATTGTAAATCAAGTGTAGTATAAAACGGCACGTCGTTCTTTATTCTTTTCCCCACCGACGGACGTGAGTGATTATAGTACTTTGTAACAAAGTTCGTAGGAAGTGTTTCACTTTGTAAATTAAAAGCAAACTTTAAACACTGATTGAGAAGTTCTTAAAGCGATCAACTTGTGTGAGAAAGTTTCGACTTTAACTTAATGAACGAGTCGTTAAGTAAGGTTTAGTTCATAAAAAAATAATGTAATAGATTTATGATAACTTTGTAACACTATCATTGAAGTATTAGTTATTGCAAGTGGTACTCAAATATTAAGAATCTACATTTATATAATTTAATTTAAATCTTAACGACTATGCGTTCATTTCATAAGTGTTACGTAATAT